TAGTCTCTAGAGGAATAGGAGTTAAAAAAAAATGCGCAGAAAGAAAAAATGGAATAGGATTCTGGGAAGAGAAAGGATACAGCTGGCAAAAGAGCCCGTCATCTCTGGTGCACTCCAGGAGCACGGACAGCAAGCTGGAATAGGGCAGAGAATGTACTGCTTGTGTATTTAGGGGTGGAAGTCCCTAGAAGGAGGAGGCTTTGTGGGTATTTATAGTGGAACCTTCAGTAGAGGGCCACCAGGACTTTCGCATCATCAGCATGTGACCCAGCTTGTTCTCACTGCTTTCTCAGCCTTGGTTCTGCATCTGTGGTTGAAGACAACCGCCCCTTGTCCTGGCTCCCTCCTGTCCACCAACTCCTTTGACACCCCGCCACATTGCCCATTCACCCACTGCTCAGTACCTCTTTCATTTATTTACTTACAGGCTGTCCTTGTTTCTTACCTCAAATATAGTTGGTATTTGCTATCTTCTGCCCCATGATTTCTTTTCTTAGAGATTATATCATTTACCAAAAACTACCTCTGCAGGCTCCCACCAGAGCCCCTTGCACATTGAGGTGGGCTCTGAATTAGTTCAAACTCCTATTTTGCCACCAAGTCAAGTTTAATACATGTAAACCATGGTCTGCTCTTCAAAATTAGTCCTTCTCTTTACTATCATCCTTCTCACCAAGTTTTCTTCATTGCAAATCATACACAGGAAAAATGAGGTTAAAAAAAAGGAAAATATTAGGTAAAAATCCGTAAAAGTAGAAAAGTAAGATATACATCTGTATTTAAGACAAATAGAGCTACATATAATATGCATAAAAAAAGAACCAAACAGATAGACCTCTAAAATACCATGAATTGTCTTGAGGTAAGTAACTATGTTATCTTTCAACATATGTTGTTTAAACCATATTATATCTTCACACAAAAATGTGCTTATCATCCTAGAATCCTCTACTCTTTCTTCCGTTAACTCTCCCAATGTCTGTCACAGCCATTACTTCTTCTTAAGCTTTGCTGACACACGCCGGTTGCACTCCTGATGACCCGTAGGTATGAGAGCTAGTCCCTGAGTTGGATTCTTCTGGATGACTCACTAAGTACTTGCTCACTCCCAACCTTTCGTGTCCTTCATCCATACCAGAAAATCACAAAGTCTAGGTCTAAACCCGAGGGTAAATCACTGACAAAAACCTCGTGGCAAATGCTGGGGAACTCTTCTACTTTCCCGAAGATGGAGGATCACAAAGGCATCAGTCTACCTGCCAGGGATGGTGGAACCAAGGCTTGAAAAAGCCTCCATCGCTGAGAGCATTCTTGGCAGCTGCTTCTAGCTATGGAAAGCAAAAAATAACCCTTGTTTTGCAGCTTCTGTGGGTTTCCTGACGCTTACAGCCTGAAGCACTGCTGACTAATTCTTCACTCAGATGCCTTCCTGCTTCTATCTCACATGATTCAATTCAGCTTCCACTTTTTATAAGGGTGAAGAAGAAGGAAGTCCGGAAAAGAGTATGTATGAGATAAATAAACACTGGCGATAAAAGGACAGCTGACAAAACTGAAGACAAAAACATTACATAAAGAACACGCAATTTTTAAAAAGAGCAATCTAAGTGCATTCAGTAAAGAATTCAAGAAACCCTGAGCTCATCAGGAGTTACTCAGGGCACCGATGTCAAAATCAACCCACATGACCATGGTGCAGCATTGCTAGGAAAACTCATTGAACACTTAGTCGCAATGGATTTAATGAATGTACAGATATAAAACGTGGCTTCAAAAAAAAAACTCATAAAAAATAAAACTGAAAGATGAGCTCATTTTGGTGCAAAAAAAGTGAAACTCATACACGTAGGAGGACTACAAGTCTAGGGAAAACATCCATCATATAAAAAATGTCTACAGCAAAAGAAACGTTATCTTTAATTCAAATTTCCACCTTTCTTGAAGTATATAGGGTCCTTCCTCAGAGAGCTTAGAGTTGAATGGAGAAGCAAATGCAGGAACAAGAAAGAAACATGACTGATGTAAATAATCAAAACTTTGGGTTAGCTATGAATGCCATGAAAGAAATAGATCTTTAATGAAGCAATGCCTGATGTAGACAATGTGTTGGTGGCATAAAGATTTAGCAAGGGGGATTTCTCAGAAAAGTGAAGTTTGAGGTTGCTCGAAGGAGTCTGTTTTGTTAGAGAAACGAGGAGGGGAAGAGATGGAAAGAGAACCTTAGGGGAGAGACACAGCCCATAGCAAGATCCTGAGTCAAGGGGAGTGAAGTGCTGAGTCTGAGGGCACAAAGAGGTCAGAAGAGCAGTTGAGGCAGGCATGCTTGCAAGGAAACTGCGCTCAACATATTCTGACTGAGAAGAATGATGAGACTGCAACTTAGATTTTAAATGTTTTTCTCTTTTAAAAAGTTAGTTTATTTCTGAACATAGTGTGATTTTTGTCACGAAGTCATCTTGTACACCTTTGTAGGCCTCTACCAACTACCAGGCGCTATGCTGAGATTCCTGGAGACACACATCTGGGTAGGTTGCAATCTGCACCTTTAGGAAGTCCAGGGAATAATGCAGACACATAAGGCAAGCAATTACAGTAAAGTGTAATTAGCACTGCGACTGAGAGGTGGTTAAAGACTAGGGGGCCTGAAGAGCAGGAAAAAAAAAAAAAACTAGCTCACTCAGCAAGGAATTGTTTTGAAAATTAATTTATGTTCAGTAAATCATTACCAAATGAATATCAAATAAATGAACTATGACTGAATCTAAGTATAAAACAAACCAAAAACCCTCAACTCTGACAGATCTCAAAAGGTAATGGAATTGTTTAATGGACTTTGAAGAACACAAGCCTACCTCAAAAACAATTCTGAGAATTCGTCTACTCTCACTAGGCTTGGGTGATCATTCAGATAACTAGATAGGAGAATAATTGAATTTCAGGATAGGAATTTGAGATTAAAAATTATAGCAAATGCATATTAGAAAACATTGTATACACAGGTCAAATTCAGATAGAAAGATGGGAAAGCCAACGTAAGTTTACTTCTTATTTTTTGCTAAGACATACTTTGCAGGAGCAAGCCCTAAAGTCTATTTTTCAATCACTATAGTTGATACACCTGCCAGTAAAATCAAAACTGGAGACCTGCATTTCTGCATTGGTTCTTCCAACAATCAGCTGTGTACACAGAGAGCCCTGTGCCTCAGTTTTGGTCATTTAATCAAGAATTTCCTACTATTCTAAAATACAATTATAAAACACTATATAAAAATCACACAACCTCATACTATTTTCACTGAGTTCAAACTGAACAACTGTTCTCAATAGAGCACAAAGATGCTTTAGATGCTTTTTTTCCAGGCTAAGATACATTTTATGAACAATAATTTCAGCTTACCAAAGTTGAGTTGGCAGACATAATAATAGCTGATCATAAGGAAGATTCACAAAGTTAAATAGTGGCTCTAGGGTCAAATAAAGACTACATAATCTCACTAACTATGAAACACATAATATATTGTCAGGTAGAATAATTTTGATGAAATTAATAATACCATTCTCTTGGTTATAGGAAGCATACAAAAATGTAATCATACAAGCATAACATTACACATCCTTTCAACTGATAGGAATAAAACAAACTGGTAAACACTATTTGTTGTGGGACTTAGTTTTATTAAAAATGTGTGACAAAGTTGTTTAAAGTGAATGCATCATTGCAACTTTTGTGGCAAAGGAGAGTCTGATCATTTAAAGAACTCAATATGCTTTTTTCACTAGCGCAAAAAAAAAAGAAAAGAAAAATGACAAACTAATTACAGGCAGTGCTACATAATAATTCTAGGTGTAATTGCGGTGTAATCTTTCTGATGTGTATTTACTGTCGTTCTCCATCGTAATTATTATGCACAGGCTGTGCTGCCTTCTCATCCAGGTCTCACTCTCTCCTTCTCAAATACAGAGATTTCTTCCACACACAGAATGCTGACTGGTCAATCTGTCTCATCATGGAACCTGAATCATGAATGTCAACAGTACTAACATTTATGAAAATACTGAATGTCCTAGAAACTCGATACTATGTCTTCCTAATATACAGAATGCCATGGAAGGGGCATCATTTTCCTAATTTGTCTCTCAACCCAAATAATTTGCTGTGCTCTTTCCTGTCACCACATGTGAGGGTGTCCGTATATACCAGCAATGTGAGTGGACACGCACAGATTCACTGGCCACAGTGCTTTGACCCCAAAGAATTCCATTGGACAAGCACGGCTGCAGGTCAGTTCATCCCTTTTCCTGTCCAGATCCTACATCCACTGACCATTAACAAACCGTCATGTTAACCATGTAGTCCAAGCAAATTCCATGTTCTCTGGCAAACTGCAAACAAAATTATAACATATGGAAAATTGACAGAAATGTGAAAAACAGAAGTGTCATGTAAAAATTGTTTCATCTTATGCTGGGTAATGTCATCTGTCGCTTTGCTTAGAGAATGGCGCCCAGTTATTGGATTAAACAGCAGGCTAGCTGTTGCTGGGAATAAGCAGCACTCACAACAAAGTAGCCATTTAGTGTGAAGGCAAGGGCACAATCATATTGTCATGGGTATCAATTCCAAAAAAAAAAAAAATATGTTTTTCAAGTATGCACTATTACATCATGTTTTCAATTATGAGACCAGTTTCAGTTCAGTTAAACCCCGAAGGAGCATTTTTTTCTAATAAGTATCATTACCTTCCTACTGGAAAATACATTTCAAAAATATTTGTGTCACTAGGAAGTAAATTACTGGTTTTACTTTTAGATCAAATTATATTTTATCAAAAGTATAAATGAGGTGTTAACATGAATATTGTTTTTTTTAAATATAGAACAGGAAAAAAAATGTTGGAATTACAGGGTTATTTTCTGCTTTCTATTGTCATTTTCTGACTGGCATGCTTCAGCAAGAAAGGCCCTTTGGGAAAGTAGCTTATGGACAGAGAAGTACTCACTAACGGCAGAGTCGTAGGCGGTGGAATTGTGCTCTCCCCTCATGAAGGGATATGGCGACAGGTAAGCGTGGGTACAGTTTTTGGATGATGGTTGATTGGCTGGAAAGGAAAGGAAAATGGCAATTTTTTTTTTTATTGAGGAACTTGGTGTTAAGTCATTCCCAAAATGGGACATGATCACAGGAGACGGGAGGTACACAAGAAAAATAAAACCACTGACTTCATCAACACATTTAGAGAATTATTGTGTAGGGGAGAAAATCCTCCTGTTAAAAAAACCTCACATCAAGAACCCAGGGAACCTGGGCAAGTGGAATCATCTAGAACATCGAGCGAGTTAATTCTGTGGGATCATTGTAAATATCTTTTTCTTAAATTAATTTATTTTGTGATTTCATGACACAGATTCATAGACACTGGGATTTCCCTTCTCATCCCCAATTCTCCATCCCCTGCCTCTCCGCTAATTTTCCCCCATGTCATTACAATAGTATAGTCCTTCACAGTCAATCCCAAATCCATCATTCTGCTATTTAAGTGCATCCTGATATTGTAGGCATGGCCGTAAAATCCAGGGGATATTAATTTTCACAGATTCTCCACAACCCAGCATAATTTTTGGCATGTAGCAGCTTTTCAAAAGTGACTTTTGTTCAAACTCTAATAAGCTTTGATTTAATCCTGATTATTTTCAATTGACAAAACTTTTCAATTGAGAAAACTTCCTCTCGGCTTATGCTACATTTAGAAAAAAAAAATGCAAATGATAAATCATACAAATTAATAGTCCAAATATGTTTTCAGCATTTGAGAAAACCACAAGACAAAAAGATCGTTTTTTTCTGACACCTTAAAAAAATTAACTTTAAGGTCCTTGACAACAGCTTCCTCTTAGTCCACTCCACAAAAGGTTTAATAGTCTCCATTGTCATTTTGCCTGACTCTTCCATTGCTCCAAATGTACCATAAGACAGTCTCTCAGATGTTACTCTCAAAACACCACTCATCACTCTCCTGTTCCTTTTATAGAAGAATAAAACTTGCCATCAAGTTTGCTTAAGATTCCGGTGAACTCATATTTGTTATTATATGTCCTTGGCTTTGGTGTAACTGCAAACTTTGATCTTGTTTTACAGAAGTTTGATAAGAAGACTAATATTTCAATCCTCTATAATCTATTGGATCATAAACAATACCTCATTGTTGGACACAAGGAAATAAATGTCAGCTATTTCAAGGATCGATTTTCAAAGTTGAATATGATAGAATACAGTTGAAAGAATGCATCATACTTTTAAAGTTTTATCCTACTTCAAAAGAAAACTTGAGCGTTTGTATGAGAGAATGCAAACTTCAAAACAAGTAGTTTTTGATAGTGTCCATAAACTTGGTTAAAGTCCAAATAAAGCCAGCTTTCATCTGCTATGGCTGCTGATTAAGTTTCATTACTGAAAAAAATTTAAACTTTGAAGCTATGAATATAAAATACTATAGCTATTTTTTCTGGACTTTTATATTTGAGATTTCAAGGATTTATAGCAAAAAAAAAATTTTGCAACAGGGCAGTAACAGACACATGAAAAAAAAAAGCACCATGGACTATAGAAACAGTATAATTCAGTTTGTCCATAAATATTCAGACAGCTATTTCACATTAGAATATATAACACTTATTTTGATGGCTTTTTCTATTTACTGAAAATCTATCTTGTCATAAACCTTTTGAAGACCTTATTGAGATTCTTACAATTAAGAATCCAAACGTCTTAAAAGCAACATTCTAAATAAGAGTATGCTAATTTTTTTAAAAAAAATTCATAGCCAAAGGGGAAAACAAAACAAACTTGTACTTACTATACCAGAACTTCCAGATATTGGGGTCATTCTCTTCCACAATTCCATTAAACCAACATCGCCAGAAAAATCCTTCGTGGTGGAAAGTGACATTTTCTATCTGCAGGGAACACAAAGCAACTTGCCATGAACAAGAGGAACAGAATCAAAAGCAAAACGTTCAGGAGACCTAAAGCAAGAGAATTCTCCCCTGTGATTTCAAGGGGGCACCTGCGGCTCCCGAGACCACACTACCAAGCTCATCAATGGTTAGCAGGAGAAACGTACGTGTGGATCACCTGAGCACCTCCCCACTTCAGTCGCAAGGAGCCAATAGTCCGATCCAAAAGCCACCAGAAAGAGCAAAACCCCCAAGGCGCCGGAGAGAGCACCGAAAAAGATGGCGACGTTCAGCCTCATTTTCCCAATCCACTGGTTTTTCCTTCAAGATAAAACAAGAAATTATGACAACGATGAGAACAAGAAGACGACTTGAGGCCGGCAAGAAGCCTGTTCTAGCTCATGCTTTGGTGGCTTCCTGCACTGGGCCTGGATTCCCCCGCCTGTCCCCTGGAGGGGCTCCAACCCAGCAGCTGAGACTGGCTGGCTATTTTAAGATACTGAATGAGGAGCTTCTTTCTCCCCTGGGGATCAAAAAATAGCTGACCTTGTCCAGAGCGGAGTACCAGGAGCTAGCTGGGATTACCATTATCGCTGTTGGATAATCCATAGAGGCGGAAAGAAGATGGGCCGGCTATGAAGTCACTGACTCCCACAGCTTCCCTGTCCTCACACTCCACCAGGGCCTTCAGCAAAAGACAGGAGGGCACCATCACACACCGTTGCAAATGAACAGAAACACAGAAGTGGCCAGGGCTGTGCATTAGTGAACATTTTTAAGATCTTTATTCTGTAACACACAGCTGTGAAAAACCAGAAAGACTTCTGGATACAATGAAAATTGCCATTAGCTTATTTTTAATTCCATTTGGATACTTTAGGGTAGAAAGCAATTTGGTTTTTAGCCTGATGTAATATAGTGCAGGTTTGTAACTTCAGATACTCAAAAGTGCAGCTAACACCACTTGTGATGCCAGCATCCCTAGAGTTGCCAGTGTTCTGGCTGCTCTGTTTCCACTGCAGCTCTCTGCTAAAGCACTTGGTGCTGGGACCACATGGGAGTGCTGGATGAAGCTCCCTGGCTTTAGCCTAAACTCTGGCTGCTACAGTCATTTGAGGAATGAGCCAACAGATGGATCAGCCCGTTCTCACTCTCCTCCCATTAAGCCCCATGTTACTCTGTTTTTCAAATAATTAAATACAAGTTTTTAAATAATTTTTAAATGTAGCTAAAAGACCAAGATTATTCATATCAGATTTTTTTTTTAAAACAAAAGCAATTCTTGCAGCATATACTAATTCCATTTAGCTGAGTTTTTTTGTTTTTTTTTTTTTTGGATTTATTTATTTTTGCTGGAAAGGCAGATTTACAGAGAACAGGAGACAAGGAGAAAGATCTTCCACCTGCTGGCTCACTCCCCAAGGGGCCACAATGGATAGAGCTGAACCATTCTGAAGCCAGGAGCCAAGAGCTTCTTCCTGGCAGGTATAGGATCCCAAAGCTTTGGGCCATCCTCTACTGCTTTCCCAGGCCACAGGCAGGGAACTGAATGGGAGGCAGAGCACCTGGGACACAAATAGGTGTCCATATGGGATCCTGGCACACGCAAGGCAAGGATTTAGCCACTAAGCTATTGCGCCTGACCCTTACAATTTAGTTCTAGATAATGATCCAAAATGGGCTGATGAAAAATATAGATATATAAAAACCCTGTTATTTGCTGGATTAAGGTTAATTCATGTAGTCTAGCCTTTCATTTTTCTTTATTTTAAATGTATAAGTCCACAAAATGAGTTCTAGAAACTATTCACAAAGGCCACGTAATAGCAATGAATCTACACTTCGTTCAAATCTGTCTGTAATTCATTTGTTTTCATGTATGAATTTGTGACACAGAATTTTTAAGAAATTGAGTATAACTTTGTCTTTTTAAATTTACTTTATTCACTTGACAGAGGGAAAGAGAGAGAGAGAGAGAGAGACATTTCACCTGTCATTACGAAATCCAACTTCCTGTGAAAGCTGAAAATCTTTTGGGAAAGATCTGACTAGCATGAGTCAACAAGGTCCTTACAGTACAGAGCTTTACTTGTATTGCATGTGAACGTGTTTACGGGAACACTCATGTTCCACTGTGGTGTCAGCGAATATTGAATATATGCATTACAGGGTTTTAATAAAATTCCAAATATTTAGGGGGGAAGGCATTTGGCTTAACAGTTAAGACATCTGTTGAGACACCTGTGTCCCATATGCCTGGATTCAGTTCCTGACTCCAAACAGCTTCCTGCTCCTGCAGACCATGGAAAGCAGTGGAGATGTCTTAACTAATTGGTTTCTTGCCATCCATGTGGGAAAGCTGGAGTGAGTGCCTGGAATTGGCTTTGGCCAAGAACAGGCCCTGGCTTTGGTGTAGATGTTGGGATATGAATCAGGAGATGAGAATTCTCTCCTGAATTGTATGTCTGTCTGCTTTTCCCTCTGTGCCTTAGAACTTCTCAAAAAAAAAAAAAAAAGAAAATCAGTAAAATAATTTTAGAAATATTAAATTTCCTAAATTCCGAGTTCCAAATACAGATAAGAGGGTGTTGTATAACATTAAAACTAAAACATTAGTCTGAATGATGACACTGAATACGAATTGCTTCCCTGGAACAGGTTACTCTCTAGAAGTATGCATCTCTAAAATAATGAACTGTTTTCATCTTAGGTTTGTTTGGTTTATAGTTTATGGCTCTTGGATAACATTCTCCTTATTACCTCCTTGACCCATCACTACATCATAAGTTTTTTGCGATGTTATCCACATACCTTTTGGTCTTACACATAGTACAAAGATGACAAATTTATAATGGGGGAAGGCATTTGGCACGCTATTTAAGGTGCAGTTTAGGATGGCTGGATCCCATAGCAGAGTACCTGAGCTCAAACCCCATCTGTGCTTCAGACCCATCTTCCTGCTAATGCTTTCCCTGGAGGGCAACAACTGATGGACTCCTACCGTTCACATGAGAGATCAGGACTGAGTTCCAGGTTTTCGCTTTTAAAGGCCTGACACACGCTGGCTGTTGCAGACATGTGGGGAGTGAACCAGGAGATTGCAGCTCTGTCTCTTCTCCCACACTCCTGCCATATCTGCCTCTCAAATAAGAAGGAAATAAACGAATGGAAACTAAAAAGAAAATAAAGCTGGGATTCCCACTCCCCCCCCCCCAGACACTAGCAGTTTAAGGAGGGTAATAAATCATTGTGTTTTGTTTACTGCTGCATCCCTGACACCTAGCTCTCTGCCGCAATGATGCTAATAACTTGGTAGAGTGAAGCACAGCAGGTGCAGAAAGAGATATCACATGTTCTCAACTAAACGTGGAAAATAGAGACATTGATCTCGTGGAAGTAGAGAGTAGTTCAGTGGTTAGCAACATCTTGAAATTGTGTAGAATGGTGATGATGGTTAACAGCTACAGGGGAAGCATTGGATTCAAGGAATAATTGTTATAACACACGACGGGAGCTAGGTTTGGCAAAAACTACTTGTATCATTCAAAACAACTCATAGAGGGGTTGATGAGTGCTCCCAGTGTGAACAAATGGTAACTATTGGAGGTGATGGTTATACCAGGTAATCTTCAGTGATGGGAAATATCTGACCTAGGGACCACATAAAACCTACTAAATCATTTGAGCTGGTCCTTCCTAGATAAACACGGTGGGAATCAAAATGCATCAATCTTTATTAGGCTAATTTTTAAGCTGATAATTTTGTAAAGTCTGTAAATGATACAATGAATATCCAAATGCCCTTTAGAAAAAAAAAAGAAAAAAAAGAAGAAGAAAAAGAAAACAGTTCCCCACCATAGTTTATGGAACATTATACACATGTATTTAAATTTCACATTGCACCCCATAAATATGTAAAATCAATATATGTCAATTAAAAGTTTTTAAAAACACATTAAAAAAGAAACGTATCTAACAGGTTGAGTTGTATTGAAATGGTTTAAACACTGCCATCTTCTGGCTATAGGGGAAATTTGCATTCCACAGTTACTGGATCAATCAAAATGTTGCAGAGTAGATACTTTGTATTTCACAATCAGATACTTTTTGTTTTCACAATATTGGACACAAAATATCCTTAACTAAGACGAAAAACTTGACAGATCCCAGCTGTAGCCAGGTATGGGGTGTGTGGGTGCCTCAGTCATTGATCTGGGTGTTTCCTCCCCACCCCACCGGGAGCTGACTCCAGCAGGTAACTCATGGTAAGAAAGCTGTATGACAAACTCACCTGCTTAGTCCAAGCGACAATGGATTGAAGGGTCTCTTATCCCAATCCCAGAATCTAAATTTGGACTTAGTCCTCTCTCTGAGTACCCACTAAAGAAAGGCAAAAGCAACCCCATGAGTCATCATTTTTATAGGATTTTACTCTGACAGTTTGGGGAAAATGTTCTATTTGTGGCAAGTGAGACACAAGGACAAAAGAAGACAATGAAGAAAGAAAAGGTTCCAGAAAGGAGCCCTTGTCATTCACATGGCAGTGGTAGTATTATCAGTTTAAAAGGCCATGGCCAGAACTGACTCAGCAATTGCAATCACCAGCATATGCATTGGCTGATAGGGGCAACAGACTGCACCGGACCCTGGACTGGCAAGCACACTCAAGAATCTGGTCTGGGATGGCTGCAGACCAAGTTTCTTTGGAGATCCTCCTAATCAAACTGCCAGACTCAGAATCCCAACCATGAAGAGAATTGCAGCTTCCATGGTCTGACTGTGGAGTACGCATGTCAAGGCTGAGCCTCCTTGGTGGCTCAGATGGAGCAGTGGACAAGCATACCCAGGTGCACATGGAGGATATGGGAGTACATTAGAGTCTGCAGAGGACACCACAGAGGACAAAGCAAATTGATCAACAAATGAAGCATCCTGGAAATGCGAGTTACTTGGCTGAAGTAGTGTATTAATCCAAAGAAATATGACTTCCTTTTATTATTGAGTTCAGCTTGCTCCCTTTTCCAAACTCATTAGAGCTCAGTAGAGCTTCTGCGAGGAAAACGGAAGTGCTCAGACTAGGGCAGCACAGTCTGGGATAATCCAGACCCGGCTGTCATTGTTGGAAATGTTTTCCTGTACGTTCTTTCATTCTCTGTCCGTGTGTCCACAGGCACATCTAATAATTCTATGTTCAGGACACAGGGTAACTTTATACTTTTGACAATGAAATGAGATTTAATTTTTAAATTTTACTTGAAAAATCTGTACTCGAGTCCCTTTATGTTGTCATATTAATAGAAAATCAATTTTTTTCTGAAGCAGAATTAACTATGTGAACCATGCATATACCAATATACACACAAATGCTATTATAAATACAATTATCAAAACTTTTCTCTAAAATGTCTTCACTGGAACTAGTGCAATAGCCTAACACACCTGCTGCCTTC